TGAATTGTTGTACAGAAAAGGTATATGTTCTTTTGAGTTACAATGTTATGTCTATTTATAGGCAACCAAAGCCCAAGCTCAAAACATACAAAACACATTTCAACATAATCAACTAAATGTTATATTCGACTTTGTCGAATATAGATAATTCTATAGCTACCTCGATTAGGTCTCACAACCTTGTCGAACACAAACAACTTACTGAAACCATGAATTACATCTTTTAACACATCTCATAATTCATGTTTTTGATACTTCTCATCCTAGTGTTTCTCTTCATCTCATCAAACCTGACTTTCTTCAGAAGTTTGGTGATTATATCAGCTAGCTGCAGTTCTAACTTGCAATGCTCAAGTTCAAGCTTTCCTTTATTTACTTGATCTATGACACAAATGATACCTTCTATCTATATGTCTTTACTTCGACCATGACACATATGATGATTGGATATATCGATAATTGACTTGTTATCTACAAATAGCTTCATTTTCTTAGGTTCCATGATCTTGAGCTATTCTAGTAGCATTTATATTCGTGTTACTTGACATGTTATATACGATGCAGTTACGTACTCAGCTTCACATGATGACAAACTCACAATGATTTGCTTCCTTGAGCTCTAAGAGATTGGATTGCCTCCTATCATGAATATGTAGCCTGCAATACTCTTTTTCCCGTCTTGATCTCCACTGAAATCTGAATCAGTGTAGCCATATACCTTTGCATTTTTGCTTGTCTTCTTTTGTCTTGGCATCATCACACCAAGAGCAATCGTACCTTTGATGTATCTCAACTCTCTCTTAACTGCAGTGAGATGACATTCTTAGGGTTTCTCCACGAATCTGCTCATACAATGTTGCACTTACAATGATTTGCTTATACATTGTTGCACTTACAAACTCATCATTTGTTTCCATTCTCAATTTTGCTCTAGTCTCGAATGGTGTGACAGGTGCATTACAGTTGTTCATCTTGAACCTCTTCAAGATGTCTTGGGCATAATTCTTCTGGTCTAAGAACATTCCTTCATTTGTGTCTTTAAACTTCATCCCTAAGAAATATGATAATTTTCTTAGGTCAGAAATTTCTAATTCCTGGATCAGTTTTGACTTGACCCTCTTTATTTTTGCTTCATCTACACCTATAATCAACAAGTCATCCACATACAAGTATACATTAACTTAACTGAGTTTGTTTGTAGTGTTGATGTACATTCTATGTTTTGAAGCACACTTTGTGAACCTAACTTGATTAGGAAGCTATCTATTCCCTTGTTGTAAACTCTTAGGGCTTACTTCAAACCATATAAAGCCTTCCACAATCTGTGGACCTTTAACTCCCGCCCTTTGATTTTGAATTCTGGTGGTTAACTAATATAAACCTCTTCTTTCAAAGGCCCATTCAGAAATCTGACTTTAAATCTAGCTGATGTGTATTCTATCATTTGTATGTTGTCGTCAACAGGTGCATAGACTTCGTCGAAGTCGATACCAGGATTTTGTAAAAACCCATTTGCCACCAATTTTTTCTTATGCTTGGAAATTTCACCATTTGGCCTTAGTTTCAACTTGTAGACCCACTTCACATCAATTGGTTTCTTGATTGACATTTCGACAAGCTCACATGTTTCATTCTTCACGATTGCTATGAGTTCTTCTTGCATGACTGCCAAATCAATTAGTTCTGACTCAACCATTATGATAAGTTCTTTTATTAAGTGACCATTTACATCGACTGCTTGATTTAGAAATCTCTCATATCTAGTTAGCCTTATCGACTCAGTTCTAGCTCTTGTCGATCTTCTAATATTTTGATCAGGTGGTTCCTAATTTCGATTGGTTGTGACTTTAGTTTGTTAATATTCTTCAAACACAGTTGTGATTTCATATGAATCTTGTAAAACTGGCACATTATTCCAATCCTACCCTTTGATTTCATCCACTAGAACATCCCTACTGATTACAAGTTTATCATCATTTGGTATATGCACCTATATGCACCAGCCAAATAATAACCTATGAGCATCATGGTCTGACTTAGCTTCTTCTTCAATTGTTTAGGTACATGCTTGAAACACATTGATCCAAATACTCTAAGATTACTAACATTCGACTTCAGTCCTACCCAAGCCTCAAAAGGTGTCTTTTCAACTATCTTCTTAGTTGGACATTTGTTTAAAATGTATATTGATGTCGAAGCTGTTTCACCCTAAAATCTATTTGGTATATCTTTAGCTTTCAATGCTTTTTGCCATATTGTGTATAATTATATTTCTCCTTTCAGGCGTACCAATATGATGAGGTGTATAAGGTCATATGTGCAGAATCTTGCAAAACCTCTAGAGGTGTATTCACCACCACCATCAATTCTCAATTTATTTAACTTGCATCCACTTTGTTTCTCGAGATGCAATTTAAACTTCTTAAACTGTGTAAATACTTCTTTCTTCCTTTCAATAAGATAAGTCCATATATATATATATATATATATATATATATATATATATATATATATATATATATATATATATATATATATATATATATATATATATATATATATATATATATATATATATATATATATATATATATATATATATATATATATATATATATATATATATATATATATATATATATATATATATATATATATATATATATATATATATATATATATATATATATATATATATATATATATATATATATATATTGAATTCATCTATGAAAGTTAGGAAATAATAATTACCTCCATTCAACCTTACTTCAAAAGATTCACACACATTAGAGTGAACAAGCTCCATTTTTTCTCTCGACTTCATGGACATATCATGTTTGAATGCTTTCATAGCCTGATTTGCTTTGTAGCATTCTTCACACACTTGACTTTAACTCGTGATTTATTGGAATCAACAAAGAAATTTGTAAAAAAATTCATTTACACGAAAAAAAAAATGAAGAATATATTGATAGAATAAATCAAAGTATAATTCCATTTATGTCGGTTGTAGACAAACAAAAACGTCGGAATAGGACGGATATGTATTCACAGAATTCTTGTGATGTATCTTCTTTGTCACAAGCCTATGTATTGTTTCAATTATCACAAATGCAAGTTTGTAATGGATATAAATATAGGTTAAGATCTTCCTTTACTTGAGGTAATCCATACACCACCTTCTTCTGGATAAGCATACATAGACCTCTGAAATTTACGTGTCCATACCTATGATGTCATAGCCAGTTCTTGTCTTTGACAGCAGTTGAAGAAAGACACTGATGATCAACCATGTTGATTTTAATTCGAAGGTTTTGTTATCTACCAATGGTGTTTTCGGGATATCCTTCCTTCAGCACTATACACCTTCACCAAATTTTCTTCCAACTTCATGTTATACCCTTTGGCAAGTAATTGACTTATGCTTATCAAATTACTTGTCATCAAAGGTACACCCAATACGTTAATTATTCTGGCCCTCTGACCTTTCTTTTCACCACAACTATGTTTCATCTTCCCTCTAATGTGACATGTGTGTAATCTGCAAACTTAATTACTTTATTAACTGATTCATCTAACTTGGGAAACTAGTTTTTATTACCAGTCATGTGGTTACTGCATCCTGAATCCAAATACCACATATTGGTTTGTTCATCTTTTGACTGAGTATTTTCTATGACTAACATATCATCAGAGTCACTTTCTCCAGCATGTGCATATTGCACTTTGTCATCATCTTTTGCTCTTGACTTCTTCTTTATTCGACAATCTCGAGCATAATGACCAAATCTTTTACAGTTGTAACACTACACCTCCTTCATATCACAACCACTTAATGATTTCAATTAAAAAAGAAATTAAACTTTAAATAAATTTAAAATTTTCTCTCTTTTTATTGAATATTTCTAAGAATATGAATTTAGGTGTATTTTCATGTAAGTATTTATTTTTTATTTTTTAATACCATAAATTTGGGTGATTCATATATAAAGAGGTGAAGAAATTGAAAAAAATAAATAGAGAAAAGATATTATTCTTGAAAATTTGGATTATTATTCTTTTATCAGCCTTTTCTAATTTTTCAAATAATTTTTTTAAAATATTGTAAATTAAAAAATTATTATACTCTTAAAATAAATCGATTTGATTGAATTAAATAAACACATATATATTTAAAATTGTATTTATGTTATTTTCTTTTATCTTGTTCAATTTTATTATCAATTTGCGTTTATTTATAACCAATTATTAAATTATTGTGTTGTATATAATTGATTTATTTTAGTTGTCATTATTTTATCTTTTTTGGTCATATACAACAAATTTATAAATACATTTGAAATTTTCAAAAAATTTACTAAATTTATAAAAACAATATTTCAAAAAATTTACTAAATTTATAGAAACAATTTCAATAAACTTTACGGTTTGATGGAAAAATGAAATTTCTTTTAATAATACGGTTTGGAGGGACTAACACTATTTTTCTTTTCAGCAAATTCACCATTAATACTTTTGAAAGCACCCATTTGATGGGAAAATGATTCAGTGAAATGGATAGAATTTTGATCATTTTAGTTTCGTAAGTAGTACAAATGATTCTTCGTACAGTGATATATTTTTAATTTAAAAAAATAAATACTAGTACTACTCTTTTACATGTTTTATTTGACTTTATGCAATCTAGGGATTGCCACGACCGTATCTGATCCAGATAAGATCGAGTGCAGGATGCTTTTTGGCACATAACACATGGCAATTCCCAAGAGGTGAATAACTCAACTGGACCCCACTTTTCAACACCAAGACAAATCTTACCGTACCAATTTCAATCCATGTGTTCACTATAAATAACACCCCATGTCCACCGTTTATTGAGAAAAAAAGAAAGAAAATTCAAACACATAACATTTCTTCTCTCTACAAAAAAACATCATCAAAATCTTCTTCTTCATCTTCAACTCAATAACTCCATTGTTTCTTTCTGAAAAACAATAATGGGAGTTCAAGAAAACGACACTCTCTCACAATTGAGTTTACCACCTGGCTTTCGATTTTACCCAACCGATGAAGAACTTCTTGTTCAATATCTATGTCGCAAAGTAGCCGGTCATCATTTTTCTCTTCCAATTATTGCTGAAATTGATCTCTATAAATTCGACCCTTGGATCCTTCCAAGTAAGTCTCATCAAATTCAAACGTGTATTTCTGTAACACAGACACCTCTAAAATCAGCACCAGTGTCATGTTTTTTTGCCGTTGAGTTCTATTTATATTTAAGTTAATTTTTTTTTAATTATAATTAATTTGTGTAGGTAAAGCGATTTTTGGTGAGAAAGAATGGTATTTCTTTAGCCCAAGAGATAGAAAGTACCCAAACGGGACTCGACCCAATAGAGTAGCTGGGTCTGGATATTGGAAAGCTACTGGAACTGATAAAATTATCACAAACGAAGGTAGAAAAGTTGGAATCAAAAAAGCACTTGTTTTCTATATTGGAAAAGCTCCTAAAGGCACCAAAACTAATTGGATTATGCATGAGTATCGTTTACTTGATTCTTCTCGAAACAACGGTGGCACCAAGGTACTATTTAATTCAAATTTAATATTTATATGATATGAAAATAATTATTAATATTTTTTTACTGTTTTATTAAATTATTATTATTACTGAATTGCAGTTAGATGATTGGGTTCTGTGTCGAATATACAAGAAAAACTCAAGCGCACAAAAAGCGAATCCAAACGGCGTCGTTTCGAGCAGGGAATACACACAATACAGCAACGGTTCATCTTCGTCTTCTTCTTCCCACATCGATGAAGTTCTGGAAACTCTTCCGGAAATCGACGACCGTTGTTTCATGCTGCCACGTGTTAATTCGCTCAGAACGATGCAGCATCGTCAACAAGAAGAAGAGAAGGTGAATCTTCAAAATAGTTTCATGGATTGGTCTAATCCTTCGTCAATTTTGAATACTGTGACGGAGTTTCAAGAAGCGCAAACTCAAGGGATGGTGAATTTTGGTGGTTGCAATGACGTTTATGTCCCTTCTGTTTCTGCGTTATCGGTGCCGGAGAAGAAACCGACGGAGGAGGAGGTTCAGAGTGGGGCGAGAGCGAACCGGGTTGGGGATTCTGGTTTATTTCAACGCGGTGGTTCGAGTGATTTTACTCAAGGAATGGGGTATTCTAATTCGGTTGACCCGTTTGGTTTTAGATACCCGGTTCAACCGGTTGGATATGGGTTCGGGCTATGAACTTGATAGGAATATTTGTTATTTGTAATAGTGAATGTGAATGTGAATGTGCATGTGGTGTAAATAGGTGGGGATTCTTTTAGCCTAACAAGTTTGCTTTTAGGAGAGTGGAAAAATTTGAATTTTGGTCCTCATTTTCGGCTAGGAGTATATTTGGAGGGGGAGGAAATTAACATTCTATGAATCTAGCCTTGGGATGTTGAAAAATTAATTGGTTAGGAATCGATGTAGTTTTCGGCTACACCAGCTTATGTTTAGCCACATGAATCATGTTTTTTTGTACTTGAAAATGAAATAGCAATTGCATTTGTTTGCAATGTTAGGATTTGGTTTTGATCTTGATGTGATCCTTTTAGCTAACCACATCAATGTTATACATAAGTAATGCAATATTATTTGATAATATATTCAAGTTTTTTTTTTATGGTTACAATAGAAAATCATAAGTGAGTGGAGATAATTTTATTGGGTAAATGGTAGTAATTTAGAGACAAACAATTTTAAAAAAATGTGAAAGAATTGATTGGGACAATGAGTTCTTATCATTACGTAGCAAAACAATCAAATAGGGAATTGTCTTTTTAAATTAGAAGGAAGAATCGATCCACATTCTACTAGCATGTACTCGTTGAAAAAATAAGAGAAAATTAGTTTTACTCTGTTACCCGACCGAGAAAGTTGTCTATTAATATCCCTGTTATAAGAGTTAAAGGGATTATTCACTAATTTTACACAATAAAAGTATGCATTCTCTTGTGATTACACATGAGGTCTCGGTAAAACTAGTCTAGAACAACTAGTCTAGAACATGCTCACATTCGGTTTCCAGTTTTCTCGGTCATCCTCTTCAACATGGTGATACGATGAAGCATTACAACAATAAGTAGCATTGGTTGCGATGACAATGAGGTTGTAGCAAAGTTGAGTGATGTCATGGAAGAATTGTGTTGTACCTATCAAGTTTTGCAAAATAACGTCTTGATCCTTCAGGAGCAACAACAAAATGACGTCCAGGGTGAAGGATGACATCCTATACTCCCAACCTCTCTCTGACGAGATTTATGGAGTTTCGTGTTGCACCCCAAAATTTGCTCAACATCTTTTACCTGGTTTATGTTTCATTGCATTATCATTTTGCATAGTTCTATCATTTGCATATCATGGCATATCATTCATCCAACAGGAGATCAAGTGTGATTATTATCAAGAGAAGCCTAGCAAAAAATCTTATCCAAGCTTGAGAAGTCATCCAAGTCATCAGGAGGTGGTGGGGGGTCTTGATCAGCTGAGGACCATCAATGGGATGTGAAGCATGAGGTGTGAATATAAGATGTGTATAGAGCTCATGGAGTGCCTAGAGAGCCATGTTGGAGCTAAATCAAGCCATTGTGTCAAATGCAAGAGCCACAGTTGAGGTGCAAGCAATTAGGGTTTCATCTGGATCAACCCTGGGTCAATTGTGCAATTGAAAAGCATTCAAGCCTACTTTGAGGTCATGGAATTCATGGAATGATGTGATAAGACATTTGTGGTGTTTTGCCAAGATCAAATCAAGAAGAGTCAAGAATGTGGGAAGTTGCTAAATTAGGGTTTTAGTGCAAATTACCCTGTTTAGTGCCTAACTTCAAGACCACATAAGTCAATATAAAATTTTCAAATGGATTTTTGGCCAACATGAAACTTGTAGAGCATCTCAATACCTTTAATTTGAGTACTAGAAGTCCTCAAGGGAATTTATAGAACTCAAGTTATGGTCCAGACAAGTTACAAGTCCTCAGATGCTTCTGAAATTTGTCTGTGAAAATCATCTGACTTCAAGGCTATGTTTAACCTAGAAGGAGGTTTCACTTGAACTTTTGGTAAACATGAAAGTTGTTCCTCATGATCTTAGATTTCTAAATTGTACTAGAAGTCATCCATCTGATTTGTAGAACTCAAGTTATGAGGTTTACAAGTCAGGGGTATTTTGGGAAAGTGAGATTATAGGTCATTTTCAAGCATGGGCCAAAATCTCCAACTTGCAAGCTTCAAATGGAAAATTGTTCAACATGAAAGTTGCTTAAAATGATGTTTTGAGTGCAACCAAGTAGTTATGAAAGTTTGGTTTGGCTCATATCAAAAATTCATTTGAAATGGTTTGAAAATGAAGAAATTTCAAATTTGGAAAGGAGGGAAAATGGGATTTTAAGTTAGATGACCAAAACCAAGCAAATGAGTACATTTTCTGATTGGAAATTTCATTTTGAACACTTTGACACTTTTACATTTTTGATTTGATGCATAATTCCATGACTTTTAATGTTGTTACTTCATGAACAAGTCATATATGCAAAATCATACACAAGGCAATTCAGGCCAATTTCTCCATCCAAACTCATTCTAAATGGCATGTGCAAGGTGTTAGAAACTTCTAGAACCAGTGCCAAGCTTGCAATACACGACTGTCATAGTGAACTTTGAAGGAAAAATCAGAAAATGCAAATCACTGTTTTGGGCTTCAACTTGGATCCAAAGGCCCATGAAACTCTTCTATATATTCATTAGAGTGAGTTCAGATCAATTTTGAGCTTCATTTCGCGCCAGAGCAAGCAAGAGCAATTGAAATTTCACAGCTGCAACTTGAAATCGGATTCTGAGTTTGGAGCCAATTCAAGCAAAATTGAGGTGTGCAATCTCTTTCTGGTAGATCATTGAAAGTTTCTGGAGCATTTGGAAGCAAATCACGAGCTCTAAGTACCTCTGTCAACAGATCTAGAACAGGTTAGTAAATCTCCATATTCTACATGATTTAGCATGATTCATTTAGTTTTGAACTTGCTTTTAGAATCGGGAAAAGATGTAGATCGTTTCTGGATAGGAATTTGGACAATTAGAGACAATGTAGGATCATGTATGAATTCTGTTGAGGCACGATTTGGCTTGATCTTGAAGAATTGACATGAATTGGATAGATGATGATGACCTAGGAAGCATGAGGAACAGTTCTATGTATTTAGTTTAAGATTTGATGATGATCAGAATTGAGGTGCATTTGGAGTTTGCCTTCGAATTTTAAAACCTAGCCAAATCTAGAGGATTTTGAGTGGAGATTTGGATTGTACATGAAAAACTGAGTTGATTTGGTATTTTGTTTGTCATTTTTGGTTGCCTGAAACTGGACTCTTGCCGGAGAAGACAACTAGAGTCTTCTCCGGCCACCACCAACCACCATCCCTGATCTCCACTCTGATGACCTAAAATTTGGAGAAGATGACTTCATCACCATTGGATCATTGCTTGACTCTTGACTACAGCCAAGATTCAACGCACACGACTTAAAGTTTGTTTTGAATTTCTGATGCCAAAATGCAGCGTATCACTTAATGCACTGGCAAGCTGTGGCGCGTCCATATTTTTGACTGGTCTCCTGATCCATTGGCTCTTGTTTATTTCTGTTTTTAATTCATTTTTATTTCATTTTGTTTTATTTTAATTGCATTGTTATTCCAAAAATCATATAAATTCCAATTTTGATCACAAAATTATTTTAAAAATATCCTCATGATCCTTATGGAATTTATGATTTTCTGGGATTAACAAAATACAATTTCATGCATTTTTCAATTTTTATTTGATTTTTCACATTTTATTTTGTTCTTTATTTTTGCATAATTAGCTATCTGTTTTGTTGAATTTAGTTCTTCCAATTGGTTTTGAGTTTGGCTTTGATTTTTTAGTATGTGTTAGGGTAGACATGTATGTTCCCTTAGAATTTTTGGTGGATTTTTAGAACAATATTAGGATCTGTTTTAGGTATTGAGATTAGGACCCTCCCAAACTTGTGGATTCCCTTGACCTATCTCAATGTAGGAATGGTTTAGATAACTTAGAAGTTGATTTAGGCTTCAATCTTTTTCCACTAGGTTTTTTAAACATTCATGTTCCCCTAGGAATTTTATTAGATTTTTGAAACTTCATTTTCTATTTTAGTTGTATTTTGCAAGTGGCTTGTGTTTATGAATTCCTCTCTTGAGTGCTTTGGTTTGTTTGGCTTGGTTGGTTGTCTTGAAGTTGGTTTGAGCTTAAGTTCTTTTTTGTTGGAGCTTCTAGATTCATTGAGGATGCTTGAGATTGAGGATTGGAGCTTGGTGTTGAAGGTTTTCCTCTTGTGGAGCTTTTGTTTAAGAGCTTAGAGAATTAGGGTTTTAGGAAGTGCCTTAGACCTAGTTTTGATTCTTTCTTCAAACATAGAGTGCATTGTTTGCCTCTATTCTATCCAATGACACAACGTCCTTCTTGGGAAGCTCCATCTCTCCTTAGGAGGGATGAGTGGTATGCCCAAGTGAGTAGAACTTTGAGGATACCTTTCATTTGCAATGTTGAGTTCTTAGTGATTTCCTTTGGTTGTCATTAAGTTCTTTAACATTATAGCTTGATCTTGATGATCAATCCTCCTCTTGGAGTGTGCTTGTTGGAACTTAAAGATTGGTGAAGCTTGAATATAGAAGCTTGCTTGAAGATGAAGTCTTTGCTGTCAACTTTGATGCCTATCCTTCTTTGCTGTTTAGAGTTGTTGTTGCTGTTTGCTGTAGGTAGGGGTTTGGTACTGCTGCTTGGGTTGCCTCCTCTGTGTCTGTTGTTTTTTCTCTGTGGTGTCTATTTGCTTGTGTTGATTACCTCTAGGTTTGAGGTGGAGCTTGTCTCCTCTTGCCTATTGTTTTCTCCCTTGCCTCTCTTACTGTTGCATTGCATGCATTTTACTGTTTACTATAATTGCCGGCTGTCTTTTGCTGTTTATCCCCTAGGATCTCTGATTTCCTCTGTGCAAGAGGAAATTATGACAGACATTAGGTTTGTAAACCATGCATGATAACATTAGGCTAGTTTCCCTTTCAACCATAGGTTTTTTAGAGCGTCTTTCTCTTCTCATCTCAAAACAATTCAAAAACACAGTAATAAGGATAACGCGTGCTGTGCGCTACGAGCCTTAAGCTATTTGAGAAAAGGTTGTTGGAGGGCCA